TGGGGGTTTTAAATTTGTTCAGCCAAATTATTTAATTCCTTTTAGTTTATTTTAAATTTTGTATCTATATGTTTTATTCTATGGCTGTTCACCGCCCTGAGTCCTTCGGGAGTAAGGCGGTATACAAATTCAATAAAATAAAATAAATAAATAATAATAATTTAAAAAATCCTATTTCACACTTAAGAGCAGCCACCAGTTGGTTTAAACCCATATTTGTTTTTTGTTTTTTTTAATGTTCTCTGAGGTCGATTATATTCTTGCAGACGACCCAACTCTAACATCGTCAGAAGGAAGGGGGCTTTGCTCTCTGTTATATGCACTCTGTTTCCTAGCACTGATGATATAACCTAGTTAGGTAATGAAAAGTCTGGAAGAAAACAACCAAGCTCAGAGAGCTCCAAGGACCCCTCATTTCAACCCTCAGCTACAAATGTTCTCCTTTATCAAAACCGTTCTTTCTCAACTGTTTTTTCACTCAAGGCTCCTTCCAACTTTGTTTTAGAAATAGAAATAGAAGTAGAAATAAATAGAAATAGAAATAATAGAAATAGAAATAGAAATAGAAATAATAGAAATAGAAATAGAATAACAGAGTTGGAAGGGACCTTGGAGGTCTTCTAGTCCAACCCCCTGCCCAGGCAGGAAATCCTACACCACTTCAGATAAATGGTTATCCAACATCTTCTTAAAAACTTCCAGTGTTGGAGCATTCACAACTTTTGCAGGCAAGTTGTTCCACTTATTAATTGTTCTCACTGTTTTTCTCCTGTGCCTCTTCTGTCCAGGTGCCATGACCAGATAAGGACAAGGAACAGTAGCCAGTGCATTTTCTAGCATTAACAAGAGTATTTGCAATATAATACACTTTGCTTTTCTGTGCTCCCTCTGGTTGCATATTTTTTCAATATTTTTTCAATATATTTTTTAAATATTTTGTTATTTAATATTTAAATATTTTAAAAAAAATATTTTTAAATATTTCAATATATTTTTTAAAATATCCTAAGGCCACCATGGGGCAGGGTGGGAGGGAGGGGAGGGGCAGATGGCCTCCAGCTGAGAAGTATAAAGTCCTCGACTTACAACCACAAATTCAGCCCAACATTTCCACTGCTAAGCGAGACAGTTGTTAAGTGAGTTTAACCTTTCTTCTCACTGTTGTTCAGTGAATCATTGCAGCTGTTAAGCTAATAACAAGGTTGTTAAGCGAGTCAATTCCCAGTGACTTTGCTTGTCAGAGGGTTGCAAAAGGGGATCACATGACCCCGGGATCCTGCAACCGTCAAACTATGAATCAGTCGCCAAGCACAGAGGGTGGGCTTCACATAATTTAACAACGGGTTCGCCCAGAATCGAAAACGTGAGCACGCACGCACACGCCTTGCACACATGAGCACTGTGTCAAAAACATGGCGATTGTATAGGACGGGATAGATTTGCTCATGTGCGTGTCTTACGCACATGCGCGCTGTGTCAAAAACACAAGACGGGATAGTGTCAGTATGGGTGGGTGGGCCCAGCCACTGATTGTAACTACCAGCTCGCGCAAACCGGCTGAATCCCACCCCTGGCCAAGCGTCTGAATTTTGATCATGTGGCCACAGGGTCATGTGAGAAATGGTTATAAATTGTTTTTTTTTTTTCAATGCTGTTGTAACTGCAGTGAGTCTTGGACCCTCTACGCACGGCAGGAGAGGAAGTTGAACACCTTTCATATGCGCTGTCTCTGACGAATTCTTGGCATTACCTAGCAGGACAAAGTTCCAAATAGCGCAGTCTTGGAACGTGCTGGAATTTCTAGCATATATACACTATTGAAACAGCGACGTCTACGCTTGCTGGGGCATGTCGTGAGAACGGCTGATGGTCGGATTCCGAAAGATCTCCTGTATGGAGAATTAGTGCAGGGAAAGCGCCTCAGAGGGAGACCACAGCTGCGATATAAGGATATCTGCAAGAGGGACCTAAAGGCCCTGGGAATTGGACACTAACAACTGGGAAACCTTGACCTCCGATCGTTCAGCTTGGAGGCTAAAGACGCAGCATGGCCTTCTCCAATTCGAAGAGACACTTCTTCGGCAAGCCGAGGCAAAGAGGCAGTCCCGGAACCAGCAAAATCTGGGGGCTGGGCAGGGGACGGAATGTATCTGCCCTCAGTGCGGAAGGGATTGCCACTCTCGAATTGGCCTTTTGAGTCACACTAGATCAGTGTTTCTCAACCTTGGAAGCTTGAAGATAGGTGGACTTCAACTCCCAGAATCCCCCAGCTCACCCATCTTCAAGCTACCAAGGTTGAGAAACACTGCACTAGATGCTGTTTTAGGACCTCTTTCCAGAGCACGATACCATAGTCTCTTGAGACTGAAGGTTGCCAATGATGTAATATGTGAATGGTCACTAAACGAATGATTGTAAGTCAAGGACTACTTGACTTACCTGGTGGTGGTAAGCCTGATGGTGCAGTGGTCTAAACTACTGTCAAAGTAGTATTTAGCTGCCAGCTGCCTGCAATTACTGCGAGTTCAATTCTCACCAGGCTCAAGGTTGACTCAGCCTTCCATCCTTCCGAGGTAGGTAAAATGAGGACCCGGATTGTGGGGGCAATAAGCTGACTTTGTATAAAAAAGAACACCGCTTAGGGGGGGCCAAAAAGCCCTACTAAGCAGGTATATACAAAAGTATGAAGACTATTGCTTAAAAGCATTGTAAGCCACCCTGAGTCTCCGGAGAAGGGCGGCATATAAATCAAACTAATAAATAAAATAAAATAAATACTTCAAACTGCTAAAAAGCTGACATCTATCTGACTTCAGATAAACCCCATTTCCTGCCGGCTGGGCCAACAGGACATGCTAGTCAAGGGGGCGTCGATAGTTTGACCTTCAGTGTTTTGCCGTTTAGCAGACAATCAATCGTAGTAGCCTGCTTGTTTATTTTGTCCTTGCTTGTTCTGCAAACAGAGCGGATCGTGTTATGTGGAATGGAAGTAAAAGGCATTAATTAGGCACCGGTGATAGAAGGAAAGTGGGGCGGGAAGCTTAGGAACTTGGAGAAGAGGGGAGGCAGGCAACAAGACACGAAAGAAAATTAATTGAAAAAGCAAGCCAGCAAAAATAAAATTGGCAAATATTGCGCGGGGGAGTAACTGGCAGCCCCGATAAAGCAGGAAACTATCGTTCTCGGCACAAACATATGGTTTTGTTGTTCTGACTAGCAGCAACTTTCATCAAGACACCAGTTGTTCTCAGAGAGTTGTTAAATACAGCTTTGCTTTGTTCATAATCAGCCCTTCTTCTTCGTCTGAGGGGGTGAATAACAAAACAATATAATCAAAACCATCCCTTCCTCTCCGCAAACTTCATCAGGAGGAAAAAAAAAACACAACCCAATATAAACAGAGATAAACACAATCTCTCGCTTTATCTGTTTTTGGACTGATGAGATTTGCATGATAAATATTTATTTATCACCCAAGTAAACTCCGAAGAAATTAAGTCACGACCAGCTCCTGGGTTTTCAGATTGTATTATGCTCTTTACTTTTAAATCTCAGGGGCTTTTAAAGGTCGTGATGTTATTATCGACTTTTGCAACCGTGGCAAGTTTTTTTTTTTAAACAGAACAATTATCTAAGTTTTTTTTTTAATTGTCTGAGGGGAAAGACACAGTTTAACTGTTAAAAGGCTTAGAGTGATGTGGGTTGAAAACAATATATGGTTATCAAAACAGAAAATAAGAAGATGAGATTAAAAGGCACAAGAATTAATGGAAGGTAAGAATGGAATGGAATGGAATGGAATGGAATGGAATGGAAACAAGAACAGAACATAACATAACATAACAGAACAGAACAGAACAGAGTTAAAAGGGACCTTGGAGGTCTTCTAGTCCAACCCCCTGCTTAGGCAGGAAACCCTATACCATTTCAGACAAATGGATGTCCAATCTCTTTTTAAGGCCTCAACTTACGACCATTCATTTAAGGACCAAACACGGAAAAAAGTGACTTATGACCATTTTCACACTTACAACCGTTGCAGCATCCTCATGTTTACACGATCAAAATTCAGACACTTGGCAACTGACTTGGCACATGAGATATTGCAACTGACGGTTGCAATATCTCATATGAGATGGGTGGGCAACTGTGGCCCTTTTACAACCTGTGGACTTCAACTCCCAGAATTCCTGAGACAGCCAAGTTGGCTCAGGAATTCTGGGAGTTGAAGTCCACAGATCATAAAGGGGCCATATTTGCCCACCCGTCATATGATCATCTTTTGCGAATTTCTGACGAGCAATGTCAACGAGAAAGCCAGATTCACTTAACAACCACATTACTAATTTAACAACTGCAGTGGTTCACTTAACAACGGTGGCAAGAAAGGTCATAAAATGGAGCAAAACTCATTTAACTATCTCGCTTAGCAATGGAAATGTTGGGCTCAATAGTGGTTGTAAGTTGAGGACTATCTATATTCCAAATGTTAACTGATAAAGTTATATATTTTAATCCATAAGACCATCCAGACTCATATTTATATTGATAGTTTCCTGATTGCTTATTTGTACCCTATGACTATCATTAAGTGTTGTACCTTATGATTCTTGATGAACGTATCTTTTCTTTTATGTACACTGAGAGCCTATGCACCAAGACAAATTCCTTGTGCGTCCAATCACACTTGGCCAATAAAAAAATCTATTCTATTCTATTCTATTCTAAAAGCACATCATTCTCCAAATCCATTAAAAGCATATCAACCAATTCAAACCACAATTGCTGTTTAGCTGTGACTTACGATTTCTAGAAAACTTGCAAATTTCACTGTCAAAAGATTCTAGCTCTCTGCTACAATCTTTAATAATAAGTCCCATTTCTTATTCTTTCTCTCCCTCCCAAATAAACACAGATTCTATTATATCCCGGCCATCATTTTCTTTAAAAAAAAATATGAGAGGATAAGACAAACTGAATCGAAAGTATGGATCGAAATGTATGGGGGAGTAGAACTGAAATTTAATAGTTTAATAGATTCTTGGATGCTTGCACTGCGTGGGAATTAAAATGGTTTAAATCAAATGCCGCATTCCTCCCTATGCTGCTAGAACTATTTTATGTCTGTAATGTCTTAGACAAAACATGGTATTGTCTCACTTTTAGAAATAAAGGCATTTCCGATCCACACGGCATGGAAGCAAAGGAACTTTAGACGGATTCTTAGTTACGCCGTTTCTGCTCCAGATGTTTTGCATATCAGATGATGCTTTCCTAAGTCTATATTTTACTCTTGTTCTGCAAGTTATGAAGTCGGTCCCAGATTATTTGAAATTGCCCTGTCTTTCCTGGCTTCCAATATTTCATCAAGCGTTGCTCTCATACTTCAAAAGCCTTCAAGGGCTAGACGCCCGATCGTAAATTTCCCATCCAATTCCACACATTGGACTTGTTTATACTTGCACTGATTACATGGTAGCCTGGAAGTGCGACAGAAAAGAAAGCAACAGGGGTCAACGTGCAGAGTTTTTAAAATAAGGCCCGAGTTCTCATCCAAGCTTGGATGACATCAAAGTACATCAACCGTTGGCCAATTACAGAGGGGTTGTTTTTTTTTGATCCATCTAGTAAAGAACAAAAAATATAAACGGAAATTATGAAGACATGCTGGGCTCGGAAGCAAAAACGGGCTGCATCCAGAAGTTGTGGGTGCTCCATTACTGGAGGTTTTGAAGAAGAGACTGGAGAGCCATTGGTCTGAAATAGTATAGCGCAGTGATGGCTAACCTTTTTGCCGTCGCGTGCCAAAAGAGGGGGGAGCAGGGGGGAGCAGGTGCGGGTGCCCACATCCATAATTCAATGCACCCTTCCGCGCATGTGCATGTGACACCCCCCCCCACATTTCCCCCTGCTTTTGGCATGCGATGGCATGGTAGGCCCGTTTTTCCCCCTCTCCAGGCTCCAGAGGCTTTCTAGGAGCCTGGGGAGGGCAAAAGCAGCCTTCCCCATCCCCCTGGAGGCCTTCCGGAGGCCCGAAACAGAGAGTTTCCCGACCTCCGGTGGGACCGGAAGGCCTGAAAATCAGTTGGCCGATGCGTGCATGCGTGCTGGAGCTGAGCTAGGGCAACACTTGCGTGCCCACCAAAATGGCTTCGCATGCCACCTGTGGCACCCGTGCCATAGGTTCGCCATCACGGGTATAGCTTCTCCTGCTTCTGCAGGGGGCTGGACTAGAAGACCTCTAAGGTCCCTTCTCACTCTTATTCTGGCTGAAGGATTACCGTAAAGTTTGAAGCTGTAGGCTACAGTGGGAAATCAAAACAATGGCCCCCAATTATGACAATAGTGAACCAGCTTCGGTTCTGCCCCAGCTCCGGATTTCCGAGGATATTGACACACACCAACGGTCCTTATCAAATTTATTAAGTAGCAAGAATAAACAAGACCGGCAAAGGTTGGCAACCAGCCCAGAAAACAAGATATGATCAATCAAAATACTCTGATAATAATACGAGTTGTTTCCAGCAAGAACGCACTAGCTGCGTGCGACTTAAATAGGCTAAGGGAGCGGCCAATTATCCTCAAGCCCTACTCTCGAGTAGACCTCCTCCTCCTGAGTAGCCACTCCTGCCTTTTGGCAGCCCTGCGTGCCCGAGCATTGAGAAGAGGCTCCTCCACTTCACTCTCTCCACTTGAAGGAGCCTCTGGAGGTTCTGAAGGCCCTGGCTGAGTCTCTGCCTCTGGCACCACATCCTCTTCAGCCTCCTCGCTGTCCGACGCGAGCGCTGGCTGTGCAGGCTGCTGGCGCGACACCACACCAGCCTCCTCTTCATCGGAATCAGCCACGATCCGCGCAGGCCGCTGGCGGGCCACAACAGCTTCATATTATTGCCCAGGAAACAGCATGGATGTGTCTACGCAATTACCCAGAGTTGAACTTAATCTAAATTGGCCACATTTTATAAAATACAGATCCCAAACCTTTACTGATCACTCTCCACAGCTTACAGCCTTCACTTAGGATGGATCTTCATCAAATATGAAAAGTAAGCTAACAGTTACCCTGTTTCCCCGAAAATAAGACCTCCCCTGATAATAAGCCCAATCAGGCTTTTGAGTGCATGCCCTAAAATATGCCCTCCCATGAAAATAAGCCCTCCCTGAAAATATTTAAATGCAGAGCTGGAAATCAGGTAAGACGGCAAGAGGAGCCCCATCTTGCTCCAAAATAATAAGACCTCCCCAAAAATAAGGCCAAGTGCTTATTTCGGGGTTCACAAAAAATATAAGACAGGGTCTTATTTTTGGGAAAATACGGTATTATTTATTTATTGGGCGTATACCAACCACACTCTGGCCACTTATTATCAGCTGAGAAGACCAGACCTTGTAGATGGCTGCACCTTCTACCCTGTTTCCCCGAAAATAAGACCCAACCGGAAAATAAGTCCTAGCATGATTTTTCAGGATCCTCGTAATAGATGCCCTACCCCTCCCCAAAATAAGCCCCAGTTAAAATTGTCAGCCAGATGGGTGCATTTAATACCATATTTCCCTCAAAATAAGACCTAACCAGAAAATAAGCCCTAATGTGGTGCAAAAATTAATATAAGACCTGGTCTTATTTTCGGGGAAACACGATATGATTGATATACATTTTATATCAAGAGTCACAACTCTCCCTAATTCAAGAAGAGCAATTTGTCTGAATGGTATAGAGCCGTGATGGCGAACCTATGGCACGCGTGACGGAAGTGGCATGCAGAGCCATCTCCCCTGGCACACCAACCGTCGCCCGTAGTTCTTCCGGGTTCCGGCACACACATGCACACCAACCAGTTTCTGGAGTTCCCCCACACGCACACACACGCTCCCGTTTTGCCACTCAGTGCCGAAAAGGTTCACACAACACTGGTATAGGAAAATAAGTCCTATTTTCCTATACCAGGGGGTTGGACTAGAAGACCTCCAAAGTCCCTTCCAACTCTGGTATTCTGCATTCTGTTAATTATCCCAAAGATGCTTTTCCAAAAAAAAAAAAGGCAGCTGGACTTTCTTGGGGTTTTTTTTTTTTCTTTGAAGCTTCTTGGATGAGAAGTGAAAAGTTTTCAAAGACAAAAAAGCAAGAAAGTCCAGTTGTCTTTTGGAAAAGCACTTTGGGGACAATCATGACCTGAATAATTGAGAATCTCCGTAAGGGCAACTAGCTGTAGTTTGCACCAAAAATTCCAAAGAGTTCATTTTTTTTTCTCCCTTTAAAGAGCCATTTGCTAGAAATGTAAAACAGTCCTTAATATTTCTTTTCTTTTAAAAAAAAAAAAAAACGCACCAGACATAGGAGCTAGCCAGAGATCTTTCTGTTTCCCTGTTTCTCCATCTGAAGGTCGTTTTATTTTTCATTAATGGAAACTAAAAGGAACAGACAGAAACAGAAGGTCTGTTGACCAGACAAAGGTATATGGCTGAGACGCCACGCTGCCCCAATTACAAATTTCATCTACCCAGCGGAAGCTGTAGGGACCCCCCCCCCCTCATTATTTCTCTAGGGCCTCTTCAGAACGAAGCCTGTCTAGTCCCACGTCTATAGACAATGAAACAAGGCTCTTCAGACTTTTCTACTTAAATGGACCTCCCCCTTGCCCGCCGTTGTTGTTTTCGTTTTTGTCTTTTGCAGAAGGTCAAAAGGACTGGTAGAAAACGTAGAAAGCTTTCACGTGAAAAATGCAATCCTTAAGCTAAACATGTTTTTGGGACGGCTTGCGGCCTCAAATAAATGTTCCAGCAAAAAAAAGGCTATACCCATCCTGATGAACAGGTGCTCAGGTTTGATACAACTGCGGTTTGGAAGATCTTGAGGAAAGTCAACACACGATAATATCCAGTGGTGGGATTCAGCCGGTTCGGGCCAGTTCGGGTGATACTGGTAGTTAAATTGCTGGCTGGTTCTGCCCCTCCTCGCCCCACCCCTTCCAGGAGTCCCCACATTGTAGATTTTAGAAAGAGCTGGCATAGTCATACTCCATTTTGTACCAAGGATGAAGCTATGGAGGTGGTCAATAGTATTAAGTACCTGGGGTGCAGATAACAACAAATCTGACTTGGGCTCTTCATACATTATCTTTAGTGAAGCATGCAAACCAGCGTCTGCATTACCTGTGTTGGATGAGGAGACTACATCTTTCTCCTTCTGTCCTGGCCACTTTTTACAGAGGCACAATTGAAAGCATTTTAAAAAACTGCATCCCTGTTTGATTAGGTGGCCACAGTGCCTCAGATAGAAAGTCCTTACAGAGAGTGGTGAGGACAGCGGAGAAGATTATAGGAAATTCGTTTCCCCTTATTCAGGATACCGCTTATAAGCGCTATATACTTAGAGCTCAAAGCATTGTTAAAGACCCCACGCACCCATTCCACGGTCTGTTTCTTTGCTCCCCTCTGGGAGGAGCGTTCGAAGTATCAGGTTTTGCCCCCATTTTACGACTTTTGCCCCATTTGTAAAGTGAATCACTGCAGTTGTTAAATTAGTAACACCGTTGTTAAGTGAATCAGGCTTCTCCATTGACTTTGCTTGACCCCGGGACACTGCAATCATCATAAATATGAATCAATTGTCAAGCATCCGAATGTAAATCACGTGACCATGGCAATGGTGCAATGGTCATAAGTGTGAAAAATGGTCATAAATCACTTTTTTCAGTGCCATTGTAGCTTCAAATGGTCTCTAAAGGAACTGTTGTACAAAAAACAGTTGGAAGAGACCTTGGAGGTCTTCTAGTCCAACCCCCTACTTCTAGTTTTGAGTCCCCCATCCCCATCCCACCGAGCAAATAGCACACTCTCCTTCAGCCACGCCAAACCAGTCAGAAATGACAAACTTAAATTAAGTAATAAAGGAAAGGAAAACAAACGAAAACAAAAGAGTCTGCAGAGATTTAGCAGCTTCTTCTTTCCAAAGTTTTACTGAACGAATACTGACCTCATTTGAAATCTCAAATCATAAAAGATTTTTACAGATGAACAGAGTTGGAAGGGACCTTGTAGGTCATCTAGTCCAACCCCCCATCCAAGCAGGAGACCCCACACCATTTCTGACAAATGGCAGTCCAATCTCTTCTTGAAAGTCTCAAGTGATGAAGCTCCCACAACTTCCGAAGGCAACTTCTGTTCCATGGGTTGATTGTTCTCACTGTCAGAAAGTTCCTCCTTATTTCCAGGTTGAATCTCTCCTTGGTCAGGTTCCATCCCTTATTCCTTGTCTGGCCTTCAGGTGCCTTGGAAAATAGCTTGACCCCCTCCCTCCTCTCTGGGGCAGCCCCTCAAATATTAGAAGACTGCTATCATGTCTCCCCTGGTCTTTTTCTTCACTAGACCAGTTATGTCTTCTGTCCATCCATGGTTCACTCAGATTTCTTTCTTTCTTTCTTTCTTTCTTTCTTTCTTTCTTTCTTTCTTTTTTTTCTTTCTTTCTTTCTTTCTTTCTTTCTTTCTTTCTTTCTTTCTTTCTTTCTTCTTTCTTTCTTTCTTTCTTTCTTTCTTTCTTTCTTTCTTTCTTTCTTTCTTTCTTTCTTCCTTCCTTCCTTCCTTCCTTCCTTCCTTCCTTCCTTCCTTCCCTTCCTTCTTTCCTTCCTTCCTTCCTTCCTTCCTTCCTTCCTTCTTTTCTTTCTTTCTTTTTCTTTCTTTCTTGTGCTTTGGAAAATAGCTTGACCCCCTTCCTCTCTGTGGCAGCCCCTCAAATATTAGAAGACTGCTATCATGTCTCCCCTGGTCCTTCTCTTCACTAGACTAGCCATGCCGATTCATCGTATGTTTTAGTCTCCAGTCCCCTAATCATCCTGGTTGCTCTTTTTTGCATCCAAAGCCGGTAAGTAGCTATTGACTTAGAAGCATCCGCTTAAAAAAAAACAACACACCACCACCAAAGGAACAACAACATGAATTGTGAAAGCTTGAGAATCAAAACTGGCAGGCTGTGAGAGAAAACTCTTGTGCCAAATACACACATCCTGACACAGTAACCTGCTTGGAGTTTTGCCACTCCAAATCTAGGCGCTAGAGAGAACACGGTATTGTAATTCAGCCTGTGCACAATGTAGGTTTAAGAGTGTCAGAAGTCCCAAATTAGAGGAGAGGGGAAGCCCCTGGGGGATCCCACATTCTCTGTCCCTGCACAGGATAATCTGGAAAACCAACAAGCAACGCACGCAAAATTAATTTCCCACATGAGTCCCTCAGCTTAAAACCACTTGCTCAGTGACCATTCGAAGTTACAAAAAGTGACTTTACGGCTGTTTTTCGCACTTAGGACCACTGCAACTTCCCTGTGGTGAGGTGATCAAAATTCAGACACTTGACAAGCGGCATGCGTTTATGACGCTCAGTCATAAATGCATGCATAAACCATCCCATTCAGTGTCCATTGAATGGAACGGTTGGAAATCAAGGACCACCAGTACAGAACATCCAGAAAAGACAAACCAATTCAGTCAATTAAAAAATAAGTAAATGGTGATCACTAGATCAAAAGAAGGAATTGTTCTTCCTTGCCTATCCCAGGGCTCTGCAACCTTAAACACTCAAAGAGCCGTTTCCCACAGAAAAGAAAACACCGGGAGCCACAAAACCCTTCCCGTGCCTGACTATTTCTTGAGCGGCCATAAAACTAGGCTGTGTAGTTGAATTAAACGTTCTGTTTTCTTCTGAAACTTTTCTTTTCTGAAAAAAGTGGATCCACCCCGCCAGCCCAGGTGCCCCCGACATGAGTAACGTCAAGCTGACCATGCCCACCTGGCCACTCCCATGCGCCCCCACCCCCGAGGTCAAAACACAATCCTGATGCGGCCCTCAATGAAATGGGAGTTTGACATTCCTGCCCTATGCCTTGATAATTTGGATATTTTCAAGCTGTTTGAAAAGTGAGATGTGTTAAAATACTTAAGGCGCTTTGTTGGGCCTTTAAATCTCAATGTCTGCCTCCTTCTAAGGAAACCGGGCTCAAAATGTTTGGGAGACAATCCTCTGGGTTGCCCATCCCATCATATCCCAAAAGGGCTTTTTCCAAAGGCAGCTGGATTTCTTTGTTTTTCCTTGAAGACGTTTTTCCTTCTCATCCAAGAAGCTTCTTCAGTTCTGGCTAAATGGTGGAGAATGGAAGTATTTATATTCCTTGCAGTCATCTGGTCATTAGCACTCTCTCTGAGACTGCTAATTCTATCCCGTCACGTCCTGTGTCAAAATTTTGTTTTTCGTACAAATTTCCCTCTCTTCCAAAATTTCTCATTCACTCCTGCTTCACTTTCCTTTGTATTTAAGGTAAAGTAAAGGTTCGCCTCGCACATATGTGCTAGTTGTTCCTGACGCTAGGGGATGATGCTCAACTCTGTTTCAAAGCTGAGGAGCCAGCGCTGTCCAAAAACGTCTCCGTGGTCATGTGGCCGGCATAACTCAACACCAAAGGTGCCCGGAACGCTGTTACCTGCCCACCAAAGGTGGTCCCTGTTTTTCTACTTTTTTTTACGTGCTTTCGAACTGCTAGGTTGGCAGAAGCTGGGACAAGCAACGGGAGCTCACCCGTTACGTGGCACTAGGGATTCGACCCGCTGAAATGCCGACGTTACGATTGACAAGTTCAGCGTCTTTGCCACTGAGCCATCGCGTCCCTTTGTCTACTTCACAGTCTATGGGGATCTAAGATGCTCGTCCAAAATCCATGCTCTCGCATCCTGCACTGCAACAGGCAAAATCAAGAATCAAGAGGCTGTTTTGGTTTTGTTCTTTTTAAATCAGGAATTGCACATTTGCAAGCGGATACTGGCAACCAAAGCCTTCGCTTTATACTACATTACCTTTAAGTATGGATTGGAATATTAGGGCCCCCAGCCAGTCTTTTTCCCTCGAGGGAGGAGATGCTATCAGAAGTTAAGTACAACAATAAACACTCCCAACTATTTTTCTGCTCCTCCCTGCTTAATCATCTCATTCAGCAGGAAGGAAATTCCGCCTGTTGCATCATTTTACACAAGGTTAACTTTTTCTTAATGAAGTAAGGAATCAATGTCATGAGGAACAACAAGAGGCCAATTACAACCTGTCAAATCACAGGACCAACTGTTCGGAAGATACAAAAAAGGGAAGGTCTTTTGAGGAGAAATGAGTTTCATCATGCCCAGGAAAAGAATTTTGGCCTCTGCAGATAGTTGTTGTGGCCCGTCAGCGGCCTGTGCAGCTAGTAGCTGATTCCGACAGCGAGGAGGCTGGTGTGGTGCTGCGCCAGCAGCCCGTGCAGCTGGCACTCGAGTCGGACAATGAGGAGGCTGGAGAAGATGTGGTGCCAGAGGCGGGGATTCAGCCAGGGCCTTCAGAACCTCCAGAAGCTCCCATAAGTGAAGAGGAAGAAGAGGAGGAGCCTCTTCTCGATGCACAGGCGTGCAGAGCTGCCAAAAGGCAGGAGTGGCTCCTCAGGAGGAGGTCTCCTCGAGAGTAAGGCTTGGGGCTAATTGGCCACTCCCTTAGCCTATTTAAGGAGGAAGGCCGACTGAAGCAATTTGCAGGGAACAACTTTGTTCACTCTCCTTCGTGTCTTGATCTTAGTTCTCTGCAAATTGCTTCTGGGCTTTCTGCCAACCATAATAATATTACGATTATTTATTCTTTGGATTCTTGTAGGCTGTTAAGAAAGTTAATTAACAGCCTTTGTTTGAAAAAGACTGAGTTAATTTAGTAAACTAAGG